GTCAACATCAAAAACTGGCCGGCTTTGCTCTGGCGGCACCTGCCTTATTGATTGGCGTCTTCTGAGCAAGTCACTCACAGAAAGCCTGTAGGACTTCAAACGCAAGGTAAGACAAGCCACATCCAGCAGGACAGCACACACCTAATATGATTATTTCTCCTCTTCCTGATGATAACAGAATTATGCAAAAGCAGCCTTGACCCAGTAAGAATTTTCTCTTCAGAGTCAAATCTCTGCCCATCCCTAACTCACAGCCCACCCCCTCCTGTTTTGCTTTCTAGTCACAGCAGCATGCTGTTATAGATCATTTCGCTCCATAACATCTCAGGGAAGATCAGCTTTCAAGACCCACCAAGGCATGGGACCTGCACTCTGCACCACCCCAGATGCTGCGAACACCCTGAAAGTGAGGCACTGGTAGCCATCTTTCTGGGGTGGAGAAAACAAAAAGAAAGAGAAATCAAGCTTCTTTTCCTAGTTCATACTCAAGAATCCACAGAGCAGGGAGCTGAAGGCTGATGTCTCTGCTATAAAGTAGTTTCTGTTGCCACCCTGTGTTTCACCTACAGGGTCGCCAGAGCTTCTCATCGCCCCAGGCAGAAGACAACACTATCCTCCCTCAGTTCCTCTGTCCCTTCCTTCTTACCTCCCTCCCTTCCCCCTTCTCTCCCTCCCTTGTTTTTGATGTTGTTTTGTTTTGTTTTCTTGAGATAGGGTCTCATATGTAGCTCAGATTTGCCTGGAATTTAGCAATTCCCAATCCCAAGAGTTAGGATTATAGGCATATGCCACCACCTGGCTAAGGTATTTTTCTAATGAGGTTGGGTTTGGTTATTTGGTTAGGGTAGTTACTAAAAGGCAGGATTAAAAATAACAATGCAAACCACGCAGTGAGGATAGAGTTTGGGAAATGTTGGAATAACTTTAAGTAGTAAATTCCATTAACTACTCAACTTTTAATGGCCTGCTCTAAATGTGTGGATTAAGAAGGGACCTACTTTCTGAAGAATCTTTTCAAAGAACAACATTAATATTTTTAAACTTCTTAGAGTGTTAATTCCTCGGCAGGAGGCTACAGAGATTTCTTCTGAGTCTCATATTAGAGTGTTGCTCATGAAGATATTTAAATGTAGCTATCTTTGATAAAATAATAAGCTGCTGTTATTCAGAACTGCTTTTGTTCACGTCTATGGTTCAAAACTGCGGGATACATTCTGATAAAGAATGTATAAATTTATATGTGACTCAGTTAAGAGAGATTTTATAAAATGATTGAAAGATTCCTCTACTATAAGAGTTCACATTTGTTCTTTATTCAACTAGCATCCATTTAAAATTCAGTATCTGTACTATTCTGTGCATCAAGAATACTGGAGCAATAACAAACCATGACCCTATGGGGGTCATGACCCACAGGTTGAAAACAACTGTTCTAAGTGACTAGTAGGCACCTAAGGTCCAGATCTGACCTCGGCTGCTACACACTTGTATGGTGAATTGTTTTACAAAATCTCACTCATAATAAACTAAAAGAAGACCTGTCAAGGGTCAGGAAAATAATCCAGTTGTAAAGAAATGAACCAGATGAGCAAACTGATGTTGATTAAGCAAAGGGCAGTAAGTAGGTGGAATGGGTAAGCTTCAGAGGCAAACAGCCCAGACTTGCTAGTGACCTGGATATGGAGCTCAGTAAAGGAGCAATACTGTCACTTTCTGGTGATGTGATACAACTGGGTTCAAATAGGAGGAGAGCATGAACGGAGATGGAAGAGAGCTGGGCAAAGGAAGGTGGGATCCACTGTTCTTTCTTAGTTTCTCAGTGTTAATGTCATCAGACACATTGAACTCAGTCTAGAGATTAATTATGGAGTCATCTATATCTAGAACATATTCAAATGGGTAACCTTTGGATGAGATGGCCAAGGAAAAACAATAAGCAGGGAGAAAAAGAAACAACTTTAGCTAAGCCCTGGAATATTGAAAAACCAAAGACTGGATAAGAGAATGTGTCCACTGTACCCGGGAGCTGTAAGTGATGAAAAAGGATAAAACAAACAACTGAGTGCCGTAGTGTGAAGGTGAAGAACAGATTTTCAGAGTACAGTGGTGGTGTATGGAAAATCCTACTGAGAGGTTAAGTGACCCACGGTGAGAAAATTTACCTCTCCCTTGAAGGACATGGAAGAGAAGTGTCTCTGTGGAGTTAGGCAATAGAAAGATCAACTTGAGTTGTGGAAAGACAGTAATAAATAAGGAATTAAGCCATCAACTAACTAGTCAACATTTTCATTTGAAGATGCTTGGGATCAAAATAATCTTAGCCAAGTGGCAGAATAAAGACATCATCTGGAAAGTAGCAGGAAGGCCAGCAAACCCTTCAATCACCTCCATCTATCTTGTCATACAATGGTAACTTTGCTCTAAATGAGCGGTGCTCAACCTTCCTAATGCTGCAGCCCTTTAACGCCGTTCCTCACGTGGTGGTGACCCCCCAACCGTAAAATTGTTTCGTTGCTACTTCCCAACTGGAATTTTGCTACTGTTTTGAATCGCAATGTAAATATCTGACATGTGACCCCTATGGGGGTCATGACCCACAGGTTGAAAACAACTGTTCTAAGTGACTAGTAGGCACCTAAGGTCCAGATCTGACCTCGGCTGCTACACACTTGTATGGCAATACCGGTTGATGGCTTAGGAAAACAGTTGACCGTCCATACTGTTCTACACCCACAGATTTAGCTAACTAACCCTGCAGAATGAAAATACTAATTGCGTCTACAATGAACACACACAGACTGACTGTGCTAGGTGTTGTAAGTAAGCCAGAGATCATTTGAAGTAGACAGAAGGATGTGACTAGGTAATAGACAAATGCCATTTTATAGAAAGAACTTGGGAATCACAGGTGACTGATGACCTGTGTGCACTATTGGGTCCAAGATGGAAGACAGAGAGGAAGCAGGACAGAAGGAATTTTGACAAAGTAATGGATAAGAAGGTTAAATTTTTAATGAGTGACAACATCCAAGAATTCCAGAGAATGATAAGCAGAGTACATACACACACATACCTATACACACACCTATACCTACACATGCACACACACCTTTACACACACACACAGCTACACATACACACACATCTAAACACACACACACACACACACACACACACACACACACACACACACACACACACACACATCATAGTAAAACTGCTGAAAATCAGTGGCTGGTTTGGTTTTTTGTTTTTGTTTTTGTTTTGTTGCTATTGTTGTTGTTTCGAGACAGGGTTTCTCTGTGTAGTTTTGGTGCCTGTCCTGGTTCTTACTCTGTAGCCCAGGCTGGCCTCTGAACTCACAGAGATCCGCCTGGCTCCGCCTCTCAAGTGCTGGGATTAAATGTGTGCACCTTGTCGCCCGGAGGTTTGTTTGTTTTTTAATAACAGTAACCAGAGGGGGAAACACCACAGGCCGCAGATCGAACACAAGGTTACAGCAGGTTCCCCATCAGAAGCCATGACACTCAGAAGACAGTGAACCAGTTCTTCTGAGGACTGTAATGGAAGCCAGACAGTGCTACTGATTTTATGAGCTGATCAGAGGCTGTTGGGAAAATGGACATAGCAAAAAGTAGGGAGGAAGTAGGAAACCTTTTCTTCATGGATAACATAAGTGCCTAAGTAAAAAAGTCGAAGAAATTTGAAAAATATTAACATCACTAAGAGGTGAATGTGAAAGTTCCCAAGGTTAAAATATGCAAATCACTGGTATCAGCCAGCAGAAGACAATGAGTAATTAAAAATTTAAATGCGCTAATTATCATCCCATGGAAAGTCATGAAGTATGCAGGAATTAGTGTGTGCATGATTTTTTTTTAATTTTTGTAACTTTTTATTTTATATCTGTGTCTGGGTATTCAACCTACACGTATGTCTCCTACATGTATGCCTGTGTACCATGTGCATGCAGTGCCCACAGAGGTCACCTAGAATTGGAGTTGTGGGTGGTTGTGAGCTGCCATGTGGGTCCTGGCCCTCCAAAAGAACTTCAGTGCACTTAACTGTCGAGTCGTCTCTCCAGTCCCAAGTGATGTGATATACGGAAAACCATTTAAAAACCAAAGGAAAACAGATAATATCCACGTAAACAAAGAGATATAGCAGACTTCATGAAACATCAATAAGCTTAAAGCACATAGAATAAGCATCCATGAAGTGGGGTAGGGGGCAAGAAATTGACAACATGAAGTTTTATAAATTGGAAGACACTTCTAAACCCACATATTCAAGAAGCCCAGTGAACCACTAGTTATAAAAACACAAAGAAAAATAAGCAAAGAGATACAATAATGAAATTATTGAAATATCTGTGACCCAGAGAGAATTTAAAAGCATGCATGGAGGGGTGTATTAATAGCCAGTCATATAGTCAATAACTCCACACTTACTTTTTTATTCCTGTATTTACATCCTTATACTATTTCATACCTGTATCTTATCATACAAATATATATAATTGCTTGAAATGATGAACAAAACAAAATGTCCATTGACATAAAAATAGTCTTGCTGTGCTTGAATTTATCCAATGGAAAGCCATGAAGCAATCAACATGAGTAAAACAGAAGCCTACCACCATAAATTAGTCTTAAAAACATACTATTAAGAAAAAAATCCTGAGGTAGATAGATGGTTCAGTGGGTGAGAGTACTTGCTGCCCAAGCGTGAGGACCTGACTTCAGATCCCTAGTGCCCACATTAAAAAAATCACAAATAAACAAATAAGTCAATCAGACATGGCTGCCCACACCTGCAAACTCAGTGTTGTTGGGGAGAGAGACAGGAAGATGGCTGGGGCTTGCTACTAGAAACCACCTACCTAAACGCTGGCGGAAATCACTAGCAATAAACTCACTTGTCTGCAAGTTGAACAGACATGAGACATACACTCAGGTTAAGACCCCCAAACACATAAAATAAAATTTTTAAAATGTCACCGTGATAGCAAGGCAAGAGAAAGGATGCTAGCAGGGAACTGTGAAGTCGAGCAATCAACACGAGTGGTCATCCTTGTCCGTCTCCTTCATGCATGAACTGGCCTTTCCCGACTTCTTTATGAGGTGATGAGCAGTACAGGCATTTTCTTGAATACAAGATAGGGCAAAAGGACGGGTCAGCATTGCCACAGCTTAGAAAAGAAGGAGACAAGGCTCCCTGGCCCATCTGGAAGCTAATTCAGGTTGCTAGAGAAAAGAGTAAATTAAGAAAGAGAAATTGACTTTCAACCGTTTGCCTGACCCAAGAAGTGACCACCTTGTATGAAGTCATTGTGCTTTTAGAAGAGACAGTCTCCAGACAGCACTTGAAGGCACCCTTATTTTCTCTTTTCAAAACAAGCAGAGAGCTGGGAAATCCTCCCCCTCAAGCTTCAGGAGCTGTTAATTGGCTCCCCAGTAAAATTACAGAAGCAGCCTGCCTGATAATGATTGTAAATGACAGGGACTATCAGGTTTACCTTGTGACTTTCCCCGGGGACTTGCAGTGAGTTTAGTCTGAACTTAGCATCAGCTGCTAGGGTTCCTGTCTTCTCAGCATGCCATGGCTGGACCCAGCCGGCTGTCTTTCAAACCTAATTAGCGTTAAGGCCTTTCCTCCCTCCTCCCCTCCCTCTCTCAGCCCAGCAGCCCTTGGTTTCCTTCTCTGCCAGCACTCCTTAGGCATGCAAATCAGAAGCTGAAGGAATGTAACCTTTACAGGTCTTTTGTCGCTGTTACTTGGAAGAAACAATCCTTAAAATCTGAGCATAGGTTATTGCTCTCCTAGGAAAGCATGCACCAAACTCCCTGAACTCCTTCACAGTTTGATGGTATACACCTTGGGTTTATAATTAAGTAGACCACATTTATCTGTATTTTTAACAATTTCATACATGTATACAATAGGAGAGATTCTTTAATAGTTCCATATATATATATATGTGTGTGTGTGTGTGTGTGTGTGTGTGTGTGTGTGTGTGTGTGTGGTATATTTTGATCAGACTCACCCCTGTTGTTCTCTTTGCCCTTATCCCTCTTGTGGTGCTTTGAATAGGTATGGCACTCATAGACGCATGTGTTTGAATGCTTGGCCTATAGAGAGTGGCACTATTAAGAGGTGTGGCCTAATGGAGTAGGTGTGGCCTTGTTAGAGGAAGTGTATCTTGTGGGGGCAGGTTTTGAGGTCTCATATATGCTCAAGCTATGCCCAGTGTGGGACACGGTTTACTTCCTGTTGCCTGCAGATCAAGATATAGATCTCTCAGCTATGTCTCCAGGCTGCCATGCTTCCTGTGATGATGATAATGGACTAAACCTCTGAAACTGTAAGCCAACCCCAATTAAACGTTTTCCTGTATAAGACCTGCTGTGGTCATGTATCTCTTCACAGCAATAAAAACCCTAAGACACCTCTCCTTTCGATCTCCTTCTTTTTTTCAACTAGTCCCCCTTCTACTTTGATGGATTCATTCTTTATAGGGACTAATTTAATTAAGGATTCCTGTATAAGCATGGATAGGAGAATATTTACAGTAGTTTGAGCAACTTATTAGTGGCTACATCATATAGGAAAATTAATCTCTTCTGGGAACCCATCAAGGGAACCTATCAACTGCCAATAGCTCCTCAAAGAAGGGCATGGCATCAGGAGCCTCTCCCCTACCATGTTGATGGGTTTGATCTTGTGCAGACAATCATAGCTTCTGTGGGTTCATGACTGCAACAGCTGTGTCATATCCAGACCTCAGCATTTCACAGTGCTTCTTCTTCTAACTCTTATAGTCTTTTTACCTTCTCCTCTGTGATAGTCCCTGGGCGTTGGAAAGGGTTATATGATGGACCAGCCTGACTCCAGCTTAAGATGAAAAGCCATCTTAATACAAGATCAAAATCAGATCATTCCTGTTTTGATATGTTCCACACCCTATACCCACCTCCACCCTGATAAGATGTTTTGACAAATAATTTTGAAACCATCTGCCAAGTTCCCACATAACCAAAAACCCTTGGAAATCCTCTAGCCTTGCAGTTTGGGGGCTAAAATAAACCCCATCTTCTCCTGTGTTCAATGCTGTTCTTTCAAGCCCCATTTTAGGGAGTTATTCCTGTCTGACAGAAAATAAAGTTTGCTTAATTCAACTAAAAGAATTTAGATAATGGTCTTTACTCTCATTTGTTGGGATTAGCATTTGGAGGCCCCAGCAAGATTAAGACCACTCACCCAAATTCTGAAGCCAGACCTTCACTCTAGGACTCCAGGACCAGAATGCTGCCTAGGAGGTATTCACCTTGAAGATGTTCCACAGCTCCAGGGCATGCTTTCAGTTTGGGATTCTTGGAGCAAACTGCCACACTAAAAAGAAACCAGCTAGCACCTGTCTGAGGAGGCCTCCATTGGTAAGTCATAGTAAGGTATTTCCTTCTATAGCATCTGTTTTTGATGGAGTCCCTTCTATTGGCGAGAGATCCCTGATGAGGGACACAAACTCCTGTGCAGGGCATTAGTAAGATGTTACACTGCCTACCTATTGTTTGTTTGTTTTTTGTGCCTGTTTCTTGGTTCCCTGTGTCTTATTCTGTGCTTTATTTGTCTCTTACCCAGGGCACTAGCAAAAAGTCACTCTGCCTGACTGGTTCTTGGATACTGAGAGCCAAGACAGAAGTCAGTCAAGCCAAGTTAAATGTATGAGTAAAAGTGGCCACAACATGCTTTGTTTTTGACCCGTCTTTTCTGACTTTGTGAACGGTCAGTGTTCTATGTTTATCAGTTTCATTTTTTCTTGTCTCTATCCCTTTAAATCCCCAGTCTGCCCCACCTCAGTCACAAAAAAAAACCTGAAAACTTTCCAGCCAGTCCTGAGTTGGCTGCTAGGTGCTAGCTTGTACAAAACCCACATTGAAACAAACAAACAAACAAACAAAAATGCAACAGGCCGGTGGGTGGCTGGTTGGGAGTCCTCTCAAGGGCAGAAAATAAAGTAGCCCAAGAAGGTTGAGGGGAGTGAGGGTGGGGGTGGGGGAAAGGAAACATACCCTGTGGAGGGTTGGGGGAAGACTGAAGGCTGCTTTGGCCTCATTGGTCAGTTTTGTAATCAGGGCTCCAAATTTCTGTCTCTGAGTTTTCTCTGTTCTCAGGTTGCTTCATATGGATAATATTGTTTTATGCTATTGTACTTTATTGAAAAGCTGACTCTGGAATTGGATACGGCTTCCCTCGCCTCTAAACTCAAGCACATTTGTTCACATTTTTCTCTCCTGTGTCAGGCAAGCCACCTAATTTTGTTACCCTCTGTCAAAAGAGTGTCTCCTAGCTGAAAGTCCTGTCCCCAGTTGAAAGAAATGGTTGGACTATATCAAAGATTCCCAGGTGTGTGGACAGAAACCAACCCCCAAGGACTGACCCAACACCAAACTCCTATAATTGTTCAACTAACCACTTCAGCTACATCTGTCCAGACTAAACTATATTTGTTTAATAAAATATTAAAGCTGTACCTCCATTCATTTATATTTAAAAAATCTACCTTGTGCTGGCAGCCATACTTAGATGATGTTGCTTTTAAAATCACAAAAGGGTCATGAAGAGCAGCTAAACCTTAGCACTGTATGGCAGGCCTGGAATTCCTGAACTGAACCCAAAAGAGGCTATCAATGAAAATGCAGCCCAATTGCAAATGGAACCCCAGCAATTTTGGAATATCAAAATATCAGTGTTATATGATGACTGATCTCTAAGGACAGCAGCCACAGTAAAATGGAGCTAGTAGGAGCCTAGGGAGCAGGAGATATATGTCAGAGATGAAAGCCAGAGAAATGACCCAGACCCCTTAGAGGAACCCAAAGGATCATAAATGAATCTCACATATTGAGCATTGAATTGTTTACACTGTTGAATTTGGTCTTACCTTGTCCAGGTTATAATTATGCCCTGTTTCTTCCCTCTTGAGATATATAACAGGGCACCAGGACCTTAGCACAACTAACTCCATGATAGAAGTACCATTCAGGTTATAAAATCCAACACACAGACAGCACCATCAGCCAAAATGAAAACAAAAAGCTAAACAATTAGATAAGTAATCCTGTCATGTCAATCAACAACCTAAGCTTCCCTGCCTATTGCCTATTCCTAAAGGGGAAGCTCCAAATGTAAGACTTTCCTTTAAAGTTCTTTTTTTTCTCTTTAAATTTCTTAACTTAACTTCTGTTCCTAGTCTCTATCTATTCCAGCAAATTTCCACTTGGCAGGCAGACACCATCCAGGGATCAGATAAGGACTACTAATTGTTCCAAAGGTGATCTACACCATGCCAGACCCAGGTAGTCCTACAAAACTGGAGAGCCCTGGACTTGCTGAAAGCTGATATGAACCAGTCCAGCTGACATAGTTACTCCCTGTTTCTTCAGCTGGGTCAGCAAACCAGATGCTTCTGATGAATGCCCATTGCCTAAATCCCTTCCTGGGCCCTGACAACATCCTAATTTTAACTGAGAAGCAGTTACAGAAGAGAATATGTTGCCCTTATCCTCAACATAGGCTGTAATGTGAGGTCCAAAGAAAACTCCCTGGCAAGGAGGACAAAATGATGCCTATTGGCTTACCAGGTTCCCTCATTGTTAAAAAGGTACCTGTTAAAAACAAATAAAACAAACTCTACCACAGGTAAATTCATTACCTGAAATAGTTCTACAATATGATAGGGTACTTGACCTGCTCTATGTAAAACAAAAGAGAAAGATTTAAGAAAATTTTATTCTCTCTACGCTAACCAATCATACATAATTAAAGAGACCCTAATCATAATACAAATTTTGTCTTCCACCAGATGAAAATTGCTAAAATACTTGCCCTCTGCTGGCATTACTCATCCGTACAACAGACAAAAATGACCATTCCCTATCAAGGATTTGAAAGGGATACATAAGACAAAAGGGGGAATGATGGACCAGCCTGACTCCATCTTAATATTAAAAGCCATATTATTCCAAGGTCAAAATAACTTTATTTCTGTTTTCTGTAAAACTTAACTTTGACCACGTCTTGACCTATTTTCTGGAGTTCGACATGTTCCACACCCTATGCCCTGACATCTACCCTGATAAGATGTTCTGCCAAGTGATTTTGATATGTTCTGCCAAGTTCCCACATAATCAAAAACATTTAGAAAACTCCTATCCTTCCAGTTTGGGGGCTAATATAAACCCCACCTTCTCCTATGTTTGATACTGTTCTTTCAAACCCCACTGTAGGGAGATATTCCTATCTGACAGAAAATAAAGTTTGCGTAATTCTACCAAAAGAATTTGGGTAATGGCTTTTGCTCTATTTCGGTAGGATTAACATATATAGACATTTCATACTCAACAGTCAACACTTTGACTAGTTATGAGTTTGCATTGACTGTTGCCCACTGCAAAAAGACACTTCTCAGGCAAAGGCAGAGAGCAACACAATCTATGGGTATATACATAGATATTTAAAAGACATTTTGACATGTCCACTCAGTAAAACAACTGTAGTACATTTGATACTGGGGCCTGTGCTCTCCCCAACCAT